ACATTCTGTTAATGCTAATCATATCCCAGTTGGTTAAGTCCCCCTCCAGTCAAAAACATGTTGTTCTTGTTCCTACAGTTGGACGTTTGTGCTTCACTAGTGCAGAATGATAGATAATAGTGAGAGTCTTGCGGCTGGAAAAGGACTTTTCTTCAAAACAATATCCATGAAAACTGCTGACTTTCAAGCGAGAGTAAATAGCTTTCTCTGTGCATCTATCCTCTTGCTACTTCACCTCTGCAAGAATGTTTTACAGGGGTTTGCCTAGGCGCCTGTAACGGTTTTTCCACATCGCGCAAACCCATTTTTTGCGACCACTCAACACACACTTTTAAAGAAATTTCAAGTCAACACAAAAGTCTCAGGTCTCGTGTCCGACGATGCCTGAGAGACGAGAACCGTGACGACGCTCGCTCCTGGACTGTTGAGCTCTCGTTAAGACAGTGTAAGGCTTGCGGCGGTGGCGCGGCGGCCGTGGGGTGGTAGGCCACTGGGGTGTTTATACTTTTGGACTGCCTAAATATTTCCTCATAACATTTTTTTATTAGAAGATTGTTTGGCATGTATATAGTAGGTTATTTTTTTCTGAGGTTATCATTTTCCACACCATAATAAATTACTTTTTTTTTTTTAGTTTTAAGTTTGGGAATCTTTTACCTACTTTGGGCTATAAATCTGCTCCTTTCGGCTTTCTTGGCTCAACCCACAGCCTAACTTACATTACCACAGAAACACCGAGCGGATCTAAGGCACATACCAGGTTAAAATGAACAAATTTTGTCACACATCAAACACACACTAATCTTTAACACCCAATCTACTTTTGTACTACACACATCATCCACTACGGCAATCAGAAAAATATAAATAATTATTCTTAGATTCTCTGGATTCCAGTCTTCTTCGTGGGTTCATTTTTTGGGTGGGTTGTGTATGGTATGCTGTGTTTATGTCGGGTGTGGGTGGGTGGTGGTAATGCGTGGTATGCCGTGCTGGCAATTGGAAAGCTTTTTCTTTTTTTTTTTTTTTTTTTTTTTTTCTTTGGGCACACAGCATGAATGATTTCAGCAGAGGAACTGCTTTGGGCAATGCGCTGTTAACAATATATTAAGTCATAAATGTGTTTCCGTGGCTGAGTTAACCTTCCCTGTATATATTATATTATTATCATTAAGAAGAAGAAGAAGAAGAAGAAGAAGAAGAAGAAGAAGAAGAAGAAGAAGAAGATATACTTTATTGATCCCCTAGGGACTCTTTCTTTTCTATACACACACACAGGCTGAAATGCACATGTGGACATGCAAAGGGGAGAGATGGTGGCGTTACCAGCACCCCATGAGGAGGTTTCGGGATTAGGTTGCCTTGCACCTCGGCAGTGCACAGGAGGTAAAACTGGCACCTCTCCAGTCCACCAGTCAAGCCAAGTCCCTACACACTGAGCTACTGCCGCCCCAATTAATAGTCAAGGCAGCTAAATGGGAAGTTTCAGTTCTTCAAAACATTTTTAAAGTCACACATTTTAAGATTAATGCTTAATGCATTCAAATTATATCATTCTGGCATCTGTTATCACCTGGTAGAGCTGGCACCCCATGAACAAAGTCTGAGTCCTTGCAGCAGTGTGCATGGGTTCAAGTCTGGCCTGTGGCCCTTTGCTGCGTACCCCCTCTTTCCCTCCCCCTTTCCTGTAATGATGATTATATCATTTAGATTGTAATTACGAACAAGCAGATGGAGAAACTGTTTAATGGAGCTTAGTGAAAAGAACTATGGTGTGTCTACAAAATGGTGGGAAATTAAGTCACCATCGCATTTTAATAGTGATAACGTTAGCCAGCCAGATGCAACCCAAGCAGAGTAATTATCAGTAAATGTGCACTATGCAGCTTAAGGCTTTTTAAAGTGTGAGAATATAAAACACTTTTCTGGCACATTACCTTAAATATTTGTTTTCTCATGGCAAAAGGCATGCCTGTTTAAACTGGCAAGGTATGCAGGTTGGAGGAATCTTTGAACTGTAGCATGTATCTGCCTGTCGAGAGCTCAACTTTGTGATCAACTTATTTAGAAGTGTCAATAAAATCAGATTAACAGACACAACTAATTGTAATGGAAATGTTTTCAACTGTACTTTCTACAGAAGAAGTACTCTGATCTTTTACTTAACTTTCAGTGTGGAAATTCAAAATATATGAAAGCATTAGCATCAAAATATGTACTTAAAGTACCAAATGTAAAAATACTCATTATGGAGAATGGCCCCATTTCAGAGTAATATTTATTTTACTTTTTCACTGAATATATTATTCGATTCTTAATGCACTGATGCACACATTGCTTCAAAGTTGTTTAAAGATGGGGCTAATTGTAACTATAGTTTAATCCTGATTTATTTGTTAAAGTACAATACTTGCGTAAATGTTTAGCTACTTTCCACCACTGGTAGAGAGCTATATTTATACCTGTTGAATTGTGCAGTACTGGTGGTAATGTAACTACATGCTACACATAACCTCTGCACCTATTGGCCACATATTCCTTGAAACAAATGATATATGTTAAGATATGTATTTACCTACTAGTTAATATATAATGTATCTATAGTGGTATTCACACCCTAGTATGAGTATGTTCCCAGTATACTTCAGGCATGGTGGTTTATTTCACAGTGTGGTAGAAATAGTGTATTGGTCTGTGGCTCATGGATAACATCATCCATAGCCAGTCTGCTGTTGTTTATGCTACAATTCATCAGCGCTGGTTCTGGTCCAGGACAGCTAGCAGGGAAAGGAGCCAGGCAGGGGCAGCAGAGGTATGAATGATTAGATGTTTTTAAAACCTGATAAATAAAGGCTAGAGCTGACTCTAACTTCCCTACCTATTTATATAAAGCCAGCTCTTTCTGGGCAGAAGGGAAAGGAGTGAATGGAGCCAATATCCGGTGTATAGAAATGGTCACAACCAACAGTAGCTGCTCTGGTGCTTTCCTTCATATCACATAATCTTTATCAGCAGATGAAGTATATTTGAGGTATACTTAATTTATACTATACTTGATGAAGATCTTGCGATATATGATCATAAACTCCAGATGAGCTGCTTGAGGTGAGATTGTGAGATTGCTGAATTTATCTAATTTACTGTGAGTGAGCTACGAGCTGCGTAAGGAAAAAAATATAGAGATGTTTATCTATCTAGTATCTTGTGTAATTTTAAGAAGCATTCACAAACTTTGGGGTGCCTGGAAAACTCATCTGGTAGAGCTTGCGGTCCAATGTACCAAACTGGCAAGGTATGCAGTCCTTGCTGCAGCGGCCATGGGTTCGCATCCGACCTGTGGCCCCTTGCTGTGTGTCATCCTCTCTCTCTACCCCCTTTCCTGTCTATCTTTAGCTGTGCTATCTAATAAAGGGGAAAAGCCCCTCAAGCATTCACATACTTTAAACCAATAAAAGAGACACTACAGTTTTCCAGGAAAGCATTTCAATTCACTACATGGTGATGCATGCATTAGGAATCCAATCTGCAAGGGCATTTGTGTTGTCTCTGTGTTGTACTATCGCAACTGCTGACGGATGCATTTGATTCTGTGGTCTCTGCCACAGAAAGCACTGGAGGGCAGCCACTGGTTTGTTTACCACTCTCGGTTACTGTGTTTTTATAGCTTACACTTACGAATGGGAGGCTCCAACATGAAACTTTATTATGAAATACAGCGTTTTCCAGCTCTGTGTGACAGACAGGATTATAATCTCTGTCCATTTGTTATTCAGATGATGTTGTTTCTCCTGCCTGCTGTTTACTGCCATGCATTCACCTCTCACATGGTTGATTGAATTCTGCCCTGGCAGGGCTAAAAGCTTACCTTGTCGCTGTGAAACTGTACGTTTGACTGACGTGTTTAAACCCATCCCAGCTCCAGGGTTTGTGCGTGTGTGTGCTGGCTGGGAGGGAAAAGGTAACCTCACTCTCGACTATATAAAGGGTTGTCAGGCAGAACTTCAACAACAGACCTCCAGATCTTCATCCACGCTCTTCTCCATCGTTGTTTCTGCGACTGATCAGTAGCTATGACTTTACTGCTGACAGTGCTGGGAGCCATGCTCTGCTCCTTTATGGCTTCTTCTGAAGTCGCACCCCAGGCAGACATCAATTTACAGGCGGTAAGACACACAACTGGGTACTGGATGAACTATCATAAATGTTTATTTTGGCCACAGTGTTGATTGATGGTGCTTGTATGCATTTTGTTTAATTCCTCCTCATAACAGCTGCAGCCTGAGCATTTGGCATTATGTTTTATGTTTTAGGATGTGTGATGGGATCCCACATGTGATAGTACGCATACGATTAGCTAAAATAACAAAATACAAGAAGTATTTGACTTTGACTGACGTTGTAAACTTATATACTTCCTGCCTATTTTGTACTTGAATTAATTAAATTAGAGAACGGTGATATTCATGAAAAAAATGTGTGCGGAATCAGCTTTTCTAAACCTATTATCACACTCTTTTACAGACAATTGTATGTAAAAATCGTACACATTGTACAGGAATATGAAGATTGAGTTAACTTTTCCCACTATTTTAAGTCTGACTGACAACAAATCATATGCTCTGAGCACAGCTAAGGTCTTCAATAGTGATTGCTGATTATCCTTTAAAACACATTAAATGTAGGCTAGAGTGAGTGTTATACTATTAATGTGGTGTTTTATTCTGCTATGTTTGCCTTGTGCATGTCCACAGATGGCAGGGAAGTGGTACCTGGTCGGATTTGCCACTAATGCCCAGTGGTTTATCAACCGTAAGGCCAGCATGAAGGTGGGCACGGCCACCTTCACCCCAACCGCAGATGGGGACCTGGAACTTTCATACGCCAGTCTCAAGTAAGAGTGAGAGGACGTACAGGGAGACAGGAGATTTTTAAAGTGGTCACACTATTTATCATGTTTCAATGCTTTCCTTACAGCACCGATGGCTCTTGCTGGAGAATGAACAACCTGGCCAAGAAGACCAGTGTGCCTGGAAAGTTCACATACACAAGTGAGCGTGAGTGCATACACACACACACACACACACATACATGCACATAAAGGAATGCGTTTCTTTGGTCACATGATCTCTTCGTCTCCCTCTCTGCCAGGCTGGGGGAATGAGAACGACATGCGCATGGTCGACGTTAAGTATGACGAGTACGCCCTGATTCACACCATTAAGTCCAAGGCGGGCGTCGTTACCGCTGTCAACAAACTATATGGTAGAGTCATCATTAGCAATGACACTGCAGTCTGTTGTGTGAATCTAAATGTGTTCAGTGGAGTCACGAGGGCTGTAGCAGATGAATCTTATGTGGTTTGACAGGTCGTGGCATGGACCTCAGCGCTGAACTGCAGGAGAAGTTCAGGCAGTTCTCCTTGGAAACTGGCATTCTGGCTGAAAATATTGTTTTCCTTCCCAAAAATGGTACTTTTTCAAATATCAATGGAGAGGTTTTAAGTAAAAAATCTAAAAAAAACCTGAGTGATGCACTTTATGCACTAATTGCCTTTTTATTTTCCCTTCTTCAGCGGAGTGCCCGGCTGCCTAGTTTTCTGGCCATCTTATACATCAATGATGCTGTCTGAAGAACTTCTATATTCTACATTTATCAAGACAACGAGACAATGATTAGTTTTTTCTGTTTATTTACTCTGTTTCAGATGATGTATTAGGATTAGCTTCAAATGCCACTAAACATGATGTAAAGCCGGGTTTCAATATACAATACTTGCTTTTATCTACTTGCAGTAGTACTTTACAGATTCCCTTCAGACATGTTTTGAGACATAAAAAATGCTCTGCTTTCAATAATAATGTGTCGGATTTGATTTTTCCGCAAAGGTTCAATTACCTGGTTTAAAGGTCTTAGAAACTTTCTGTTCCTTCTCTTGAAAAACCCGGAATCATTGTTCTTTTCAAATGTTTAACTGCTGGACACAAGATATCTCCTCGTTCACTAGGAAGTCCATTCTTAGTGCGTGCACTAGAGGCTTCAAGTTTCCACATCACACTGCTGTAAGTTGCGTAACAGGACCACGATTGGCTTCCAAAGTTGCGAAAACAAAATCCTGCTTGTACATGCTCGTCTTCAAGGTTCCCTGTTGTGTTCCAGACCTCTAGTAGCACTACAGAGTTGTTGTTTTTTTATGAGTCCCTGTTTTGTTCTTCTTGTACCTGTGCACGAGCGACGCGGTACACATTCCTGCCAATTGTTTCACGCTATTCACTGATCTACTGACAGTGGAAATGCACAAAGAAAGGCAGCCGTACACCAACAACAGCAGAGACTGCAAGTAAGTAAAATGGATGTAAACAGCTTTCAATTATCAGCTTTGCAAATGTTTTATGAGGAAGTAAATGGATTTAACACATTTGTCCGACCCTTAAGGACTCGCTGAGTAACTTCTGCTTACAAGAGAACTCCACAGGACAAAACAGCTCAAATAAAGTAGCAAAACACATTTTCCAGGAGAGGTCGACTTTAACAACGTGAGCAAATAAAAGACAAACGGCTAAAATACTTTGCTTTTATTACCTTTTTTAACAAATACGCTGAAGTACATCCATAACAACACAGTTCAGATTTCCTTTTTATCAAGTGTTTACATCTACACGCTTTGTACAGATTTGTATACAAAACAATAATTTACGTCCCATAGAAGTCTAGTTACACTTAACTATACAACAACTTGTAAATGAAATAAATATAAAAACAGAAATAATCACGGGTGATAACAAAAATGTAAAAAGCCATAGTACAAGTACACCACCAGCACCTGTCTTCTGAAGTTGCATCTAAAAAGATATACATTTCCCTTTCTACTGGTAAAAGTACATCTGTGTGTGGGCGAAAACAAAGAGTTCAGTCCATAGTTTCAGAACAGCAGCACCAGATATATACTGTAGGACTCCGGTTCAGACCAGACAGTTATATTAGGACACTGATTTGAACTTTTTTTTAAACCCAGCCTAATATCAGTATCACACAGATACTTTTAAATGACACTTTTTCTATGATTTAACAAATATTCTGTCAATTAATATGAAACACAAGTTAGTTCATAGAAAAAGAAACCATGTGTCAAACCGCTCAACATCAGTAATCATGTTTGACAACGTACATTTTCCTCGTCACAAAAATCGCCTTTTTTCTTCTCTTTCAAATTGATGGGATTTCACTCCCCAGGTAGCATTACTATATTAAAAATACTGTCAGTCGGGTTTCATCTCTACTGCTTTGGGCACTAGTTCTGAGCAACTTACAGCACACTTACTGACTTAAAACTGAAATATTGGGACAGGTGTATAATCAAGCGATGGGGTAATGATCGCATGGTGATATAGGTGCATATGTGAACTTTTATTCACTACCATGACAAATCCACTATTTCACTGTGTATTTTGTGTTCATTCCATGATCGAGACCCCTGTGTACAAAGCTAAGAATGATTGTTTCTTTTCTATGGGTGCTGTACACAGCCAGCCTTGTGTTTTTGTTAACACAACAAAAAGCACTATGTTACAGAGTGGTGGGGTCAGAGCACCAGGAAGCACAACAGATGTGTCTGTCTTTCTCGCTTTCTCTCTCGCTCACATACAAACACGCATACACACGTACGACTTGATTTCTGCATTCATCATGATCTTTACCAAGATGGCAAGTGCTACTGGGAACAGGTTGTTAATCCATACTGCTGTGTTTAGTACATTTTAACAAAATGACGCAAACGTTTTGCAAATGAGACTTTTTGACAGTTTTTTTGAGTTTTGAGACAAATAATTAGGACCATCGTGACTGACAACTGATTGCTGCCTTCAAAATTAAAAATGTATATCTACAAAGACATCTGCACAATCTGCCATGCACACTGTCACCAGCAAGGGACATGCAGTTAAAAGTGCAAGTCTACGGAGAGGTTCTGTTGCTAACTCTGACGGAGCATTAACGTTATGTACACGTGTATACATTTCTGAACAAACATTAGGCTGAGGATCAAAAAAGAGCAAAACAACAGAACAGACTAAGTGCAGCACACGCACACACACCACATCATTTCAATGTGAATGGTGCCGTGCTGAGGGTGCAGTGATTGGGGTGTGATGGTTGCTTCAACATTGTTCTTTGTTGTGGCACAGTATTTGGCTCGGTCAGAGTCACTCTGCCTGCACCACGTCCTTGTGGTGGCGCATGATATGCTGGTTCTTCTCCGAGGGTCGTCGAAAGCCTTTTGAACAGATCTCGCAGCGGTGCGGGTAGTCTTTTGTGTGAATGGAAATCACGTGTCGCTTGAACCCCGAAGCGTCCCCGGTGCTGTAGTCACAGTACTGGCACTGGTAAATTCTCCTTTCTTTTTTCCCATCGCCAATAACTACAGTCACACTGCTGGCTAAGCTGGCTGCACTGACTCTGCCAGGCGGGCCAGAGCTGCTGGACCCGCTAGGTGCAGACTTTTTAGGTGTGGCAACAGGAGTGTGCGTCTCTGTCCTCTTAGCCTCACTCTTTTCAGGAGAGGCCTGTTGCTCCTTTGTGTGGACAGACAAGATATGACGACTGAGAACAAAAGGGTCTGCAATTTTAAAGTTGCAGTGCCGGCACTGGTGGAGTTTCTTGGTGGTGCGGTGGGATAACGAGTGCTTCTTCAGTTCAGACGGCCGGTGGAAGCCTTTACCACAGATGGCACATTTGTGTGGGTAGTCCTTGGTGTGAACAGATATTATATGGCGTTTCAGGTCACTGGAGTTGGAACTTTTGTGATCACAGTGGGCACAATGGTGGGTCTTATTCTCCTCGTGTGTTAGTCCGTGCTGCATTAACTCCTCCTCCTCCGCAAAGGTCTGGAAACAGCGCTCACATTTGTATGGCATCTCTTTGCTATGCTTAGTCTTGATGTGCGTCTTGAGGTTAGACGAATCGGCCGACTTGTAGTCGCAGTACAGGCAGGAGTAAGGCTTCTCGCCCGTGTGCGTGCGCATGTGTTTCTTCAACTCTGAAGGATGTCGGAAGCCTTTTCCACATTCCACACAGATGTGGGGGAAGCTTTTGCTGTGAACGGCCAACAAGTGCCGATTGAGCAGTCCTTGCTCAGCAGTTTCATAGTCACAGAACTTGCATTTATGCATCTTGGTGGGCGGCGGAGGTGGCTGGTTCTTGGGCTCTCGGTGGTGGTGCTGCAGTCTGTGAGAGAACAGCGCCGCCTGCTGGTGGAACTCCTTGCCACACATTTCACACTCGAAAGGGGCCTTGCTGCTCAGAGCGTGCACCTCCATGTGGTTGTGGAGACTGGCTTTCTTGTTGGTGGTGAAGTCACAGTCTGTACACTGGTACTTTTTCCTTGTCAGAACGTCCTGGTGATGATTCTTGGTGTGGCGCTTCAGGAAACCTCGTGACTTGAACTTTTTACCACAAAGCATGCAGGGGTAAACGGTGAGAGGCTGACCATATGGACCGATGATGATGGCTGGAGAGAAAAATGACAAGAG